GGTTCGAGTCCCCGTCTGTTGACCCTCCAAAAATCATATTAATTACTCCCCTTTTTGGTGGGAGCTCCTCTCTTTCTGGTGATCTTTCCCTCTTGCGAGGGCTCTTGCTTCTCTCTCTCCTCTTGTTCGACCTCTCACGGTCTTTGTATATGAACTCCTTCAAGTGTCCTGCCTTTATCAACCTTTCGATTTCGTCTTTAAGGTGTCTGCAGTCATCAGTGTCGTGGCCGTAATCTTTGTGGAATCGACAGTATAGATTACTCTTGGGCCTTACTGGTCCATCTTCCCTTTTTCGTGGCCATCTCACCACATCGTCACGGATTTCTCTTTCCATGACTTCCAGTATTCTCGCATGAGGAGCCGACAGGGGTGTGTATTGAGTCGGCCTCCATCCTCTGTATCGTCCTTCCCCCTTGTCAACTCGCGGTGATCCTCCTCTTTCCCCTGTCGACTGGCTTTTCTTCTCCTTCTTATCGTCTCGACTGTCAGTTTGGGGTATTTTCACATTTTGCAGATAATCGGCTTCGGCCTCCTCGACATTCATATATTTTGCGCATCTTCCCAACACGTCGTCGAAACTCCTACCAGGTCGCTTGGCCAAAGAGTTCTTACATAACCCTGGCAGTAGCCCTCTCGTCAGTCCTCCCGATTTGATTTCCTCTGTCGCTGTTGGGCACTCGACACATGCCTTTGTAAACCTCGCCACATACTCTCGCAGTGACTCTCCCTTCTTTTGCTGCATACTTATCAACGAGAGATAGAATTTCTCTTGCACCCTCACACTTGCAAATTGGTTAAGAAAACTCGAGCTAAATCCATCAAAGTCCCTAATCGACCCTGCTGGAAGTTGATGGAACCAATCTTGGGCCGACCCTGTCAAAGTCGTCAGGAAGGCGCGGCATTGCACTGGGTCGCTGTAACGATGAAGTACGGCCATATTTTCGAAACTCCTCAAATGTCGAGACGGGTCAGTGGAGCCGTCGTACCATATGTTTAATTCTCTGAAGCCTTTGGGTAAGTCGGCTTTCAAGATCTGCAACGAGAATGGGTGCTCTTTTGTTCCCCTGCTCTTCTTTCCATCGACTCGAGCCTGTAAATCGCGAACCTGGGCTAATAGTTGTTCTAACGTTTCATCCCTCGCTTGTGGATTAACCGTTCGAATGGAAGACTCTTCCTCGTCCACCCTCCTATTCTGTTGCACGTTCGACTGGGCTTGTTGCTCGACGCGGGGCTGTTGTTCAATTCGAGGCTGATAATCAACGCAGGGCTGCTGCTCGACTCGAGGCTGCTGCTCGACCTGCGCCATCTGCTTCATCTGAGCTGCTACTGCTTCAGCGATCATCTTCTGCATTTCGCTTCTCGTCATCGTCAAGGTTTGCTCCTCGACATGATGTTGGGCTTGCTCCGGTACCTCCTGTATCTGTTTTCCCTCACGTCGAGATATCTCCGTTGGTCCCTTCTCCCCTCCCGGATTAGGGTTTTGACTTGTTCCTGCCTGAGTCAACACTTGATTCTTCACGCCGGTTGGAGTTACAGGCGTTTCTCCGCCCAACGTCAGCCCGGGTGGTGGTGGTCCTCCGACTGGTGGCATTCCCGTCATCTGAACTACGGGGTGTTTGGTGGTAGGAAGTGGTGGTGGCCTCTTGTCCATCCACGTCCCTCTGAATTCCTCACTCAGGTTCCTCTGCAAGCTCTCCTTCTCCGCCATTGGCAAACAGATCGGAGCTGGGTGTGAAGCTCTTCTTTCCTTTAAGAACTCCCCACAGACGGCGCCAAATGATGGGTCTACTTCCAGATCTGAAGTAAACCGGTGGTTGTGAGCTCAGATATGCTTGGACCGCCTTGAAGCCGTTGCTAGATCGCAAGAATACCTGCAAAAACTCAACGCCGGAGGTGTTTCCGGCGTAGAGCCTCCGACGCTCAAGTCAGTATGAGAGTGATGAAGAGGGGCTGCGCAGCAGCTATGGGGGAGAGTGGGAATGAATGAGAGTTAGGGTTTTAGGGTTACCTCATCTCCTTTATATAGGAGTGAATACTTACGCGAAGTGCCCAAAATACCCAAGTCGGTGGACCTAGAAGGTCCAAAATGCCCCTGTCGATTCGTCTCCCCTTTGTTGCTGAGTCATCGCGAGATTCCTTCTTATCTTTCCCAATGTGGAGGACTTTGGATATGTTACAAGTGTGATGAATCGTCATCACATCTTTGTTGTTTAAGGTATGTGAAATCGACTTCGAGATCTAGGAAGTCGACTCGTTGATATGTGCGGATTCGGAGGCTACGCTTGACTAGTTCTTTGAGGCGGAGTCGTCTTCAGAGAGTCGTCTTAGTTCAGTCGACTTCTGGGGGTCGACTTAGAGTATCTGGATGACCGGGAGCTTTGCTGTTCCTCTTTCATTGATGTCGATTAGAGAAAGTCGGTAGATTAAGGTCGACTTGCAAGAGTCGACTAGATCAATCTCGGCTTCTTCTTGATTGCTCTTAGTAGAATCGACCTTTGGGAAGTCGATTTGGGCATGTCGACGGAGTCATGTCGACGTGCGAGTAATTCGAGTGGTTCGCCGGTTGAGTAATAAGCTTCTGGACCGGGTTATCCTTATGTGGCCATATTAATTTTAAAGAGTTGAAATAGTTATACAACAACATATGTGTTTTTTCTATTATTTTATGTTTTATATTCTTTTTTTCAAACAACCCGTGTAGTACACGGGTGTTTTGTTTATAAATGGTCATAAATGGATTGCGTGATTTTTCACTCTCTACTTTGGTAACAACAATTCATATATAAAATTAATCAAAATCCTAGCAATATAGTTAACAAAATCCGATAACTTTGATAAAACAATTTCGATCATTATCTTCAAGATCTTGTAGTAATTATGAAAATTATGAACATATAAAATCCCACAGAATCCGCTGACATTCCGAACTAATTTTGTTATGAGAGATTTATTACATAAATTTAATTGTAACGCGTGGGGCTCATTGGTGTTACTTAAATTAGTAAGTCAAAACATTATTTTTCAAAGTCAAACATACTATTTTTGTATTTTTCCAACAACCTCTTTATATTACTATAGATTTCATTAAGCTTTTACATAAATGTAAATTACAAAATTATTATCTTATTAGGTAATTTTACTAAGATATTTAATACTCCCTCCTATTTTTAATAAATATCGTTTTGAGAAGTTGCACAATAATTAAAAATATTTTTTTTGTTAATAATAACCCTCATTAATGAAGATAGAGATTGATGTTTTGAGAAAAAGATGGTAAGTGAATATGAAAAGACGTAGTGTATTTATTAGTTAGATGAGGGTAATGATGGAAAAATATGTACAAAATAGGCAAAACGACATTTATTTAACAAATGATCAATTAAGCTAATATGACAAATAATAAAAATAAAATGGAGTATTTTTTTATTACAAATACTTAAAAAATAAATTTAAGAAAAAGTATTGTAGTTTACATAATTATGTCAAATACAAAGTAAGTGATATGGAGTCTTAAATTAAAAAGTAGAATTTAAATAACAGAAAGTTAAAAGTGAAACCAAAAAGTTAAAAATTTAGACCATAGTATGACACTAACACAAAAAAATCAGTCCTTACATTGTAATTTCCCCCGCTTAAATATGGTCTAAAAGGTATGAGAAAACACTCGGATTTGATTTGCAACATTAAAATCTCAATACGATAATAAGATGATTTAACCCAACTTGCTGCAACTATGGAGGATAACAGAGAAGAATCGCTTTGCCTAGCAGCCAGAAATGGCGACGTTGTGAGGGTAAAATCGTTAATTGCATCCGGTGCTGATGTCACGTACTTCGATAGCTCTGGCCAAACACCACTGATGCACGCCGCGAAAAATGGCTGTCCGGAGGTGGTGAAGGCACTCCTCGACGGTGGCGCACCATGGAATGCGCTCTCCCCTTCCAATCTCTCTGCCGGAGATTTTGCTATGGAAAATGGCCACCAGTCCGCCTTCGACATCATTCTCAACGCAGGTCCGTCTTTTAAGTTTGATGTTGAATGCTTGGTTAACCCTGTTCTTCTAATATTTTTCAAGTGTTAAATTAATTGTGCAATTGATAATATGTTGGGGAATGACATACATCTTGTTTTTTGCTTTATTGAAAATTGTAGTATAAATTTGGTTTGTATTACCTTGTATTTTTTTCTGTTTATTTTGATACAATGACCAGTAATTGTTGGACTGTGTTGTTTCTGACAAATAAAAACAACTTTGTAAATGGAAAGTTGCAAACTTTTCTCACACGATTTATACAGAGCTATTGTATTTGACATTTCGATTGACAGGAAGGATTGTAGATTCAAGCAAGTTTCATCATTTTACGTAAATAGATATTTTGGGAATTTCCTGATAATTTTCAATTCACCATTAATGAAGCATCTGAGCTCGGTTTCAGTGTGTAGCGTTCAAAAGAACCCCCAACTCACACTTTGCACACATCAGGTTTAGTATGGCCAATAATTAGCCGACATGTACTAAGTTGCTGGACTAATGAAAGAAACGAAGATACGCCTAAGTAAGACATGCCTCGAGTAGGAATGTGGGAATTTGAACACATTCCCAACTTGCAAAGAAATTGCTTAAAGTCTCCCTCGCCAAGCGCATGGCTGTTGTCCAGTGAGCTGGAGTTGGGCTTGTACAAATTGGCTTAGTTGTTGGACAACATAAGATATGTCTGGCCGAGATAAATTGAGGTAAAGCAACCTCCTAATGAATCTTCTATATGTTGCTGAATGAGTGAGGAGTGGTGAATCTTGAGTAGTGAGACCTTGTGGAAGTGGCGTGATCACTGATTTTGAGTTCTCCATCTCTAGATCTTTAACTATGTCAAGGATGTATTTTCTCTTACTAAGGTAAGTTCATTCATTGTCAAGTCCCATAAAGTACTTAGCTTTTCCTAAATCCTTTATTGTGGATACATCATTGAGGTACAATTTGAGATGTCCGATATTCGGCAAAGAATCTCCTGTAATAAGCCCGTCATCAACATAAATGAGGAGTGCTAGAAACCTGTTATTTGTCTTTTTGATAAAAAGGCAATGATCATGTTATTTCCCAAAATATTTGTTCACATAAAATGATGAAACTTGCTTTAATCTCCCTGGCATCAAAGCTCGGTTTAAGTGCGTAGTGTACAAAAGAACCCCCAGCTCACACTTTGAACACATCAACTTTATTAAGTTCATGGGTTAGCAGACACGTACTATGTTACGAGACTAAAACGAAAATACGACTCTCTAAGTAAGACACGCCTTTGAGAGAAATCTATTATTGTAAAATAACAATAGGGATTTACTTTATTTAGAAAGTAAAATCTCGCCTAAAAATTTGGATTTTACTACAATTGGTAACTTTTTTGAAATTCTTTGAAGAACTGGCGGTTGATTTGTAATTTGAATTTCAAATTCATTCAAACATTTAAAGGAAATTATCATAAACAGATTTTTTTGGATACATTCCATTGTATGTTAACTTACATATAATCACATTCCTAACAAACATTACAACAACAACAACAACAACAACATAGCCTTTTAGTCTCAAGCAAGTTGGGACATTCCTAACAAACATTAAATTTGCTTATATATTTTTAAATTAATTACATCAATAAATAAGATTAATATACATTAAATATTTATCATTATATAAGAAAAGAATATTACTTCTATAAGTGTTATAAATAATAAAGACATTATACGACAATAAATTTTTGAATAAAATAATATTTGAGTATTATGATGAACCAAAATAAGTAGAATTATTATCTTTTCCGTATTAAAAAATAAATATATATGTTAAAATATTATTTATATTAATATAAACGGTCAGCGGGTAAATATATTGTTAAAATAGAGTTTTGAAAAAATGTTCTAAGGTACGAAACCCCCGTGCATCGCACGGGATTCTCACTAGTAAACTGAAATACCAAGAACAAAAAAATAAGAAAAGCGGGAAAACATAATAGCAAGTGAGAATTGTGCTTATTCCTCATACTTCAATGTTGATATCTGCTTGCATGACTGCATGACTACGGCGTCTCAACAACGGTGGGCATTTGTTATCAAAATGGAAATTGGATATCATGTTACTGCAAAATGCTTTGCCATTGTGTACTGTACACTATAAAAGAGATTGGACAAAAACTCATTCTGAAGATTTGAGCCCCCTTAAATGGATTGGACATGGCAGACTATTACCACTCTTACCATTTCAGCTACTAGCAGCTGTATGCTGTATCATGTAGAATACTGTCATGTTTGGGGGTATGGCTGTATCCCAATGTAATACTCTGCCTCCATAATAGTAGGTTGATGGCATTTAAGATTTCTAGTGTTGCACTGTGCAGAGCTATATATTATTTGATTGGTAGTCAAACTGAATGAAGTTGTAGTTTGAGTCTGTAATTATTGGAGTTTGATATTGCCTGATATAAGTCGAGGGCCATATTTTCAGTGTCTTCACTTCATTTTTAGTGCAACCTGTTTATGATATTTTGCAAAGCTCAAACCCTCTATTAATTAAACCAGAAACAAGGTCAAGGTCTGGTTATGGAATATTCATGTATAGTATAGAGTGTATCCTAAGTAAATAATGACAGTTACCACAATATGTATCTAATATCATAAGTAGGTTGATGGCATTTAAGATTTCTAGTGTTATGCACTATGCAGAGCTATATATTATTTGATTGGTAGTCAAACTGAATGAAGTTGTAGTTTGAGTCTGTAATTATTGGAGTTTGATATTGCCTGATATAAGTCGAGGGCCATATTTTCAGTGTCTTCACTTCATTTTTAGTGCAACCTGTTTATGATATTTTGCAAAGCTCAAACCCTCTATTAATTAAACCAAAAACAAGGTCAAGGTCTGGTTATGGAATATTCATGTATAGTATAGAGTGTATCCTAAGTAAATAATGACAATTACCACAATATGTATCTAATAATTCCTTCAGTAAAAACCTGAGTTACATGAAACTTGAAATTAAGTGCAATACAAAGGAGGGATATTCAGATTTCCATTGGATGGGTGTCTCTTTTGTTGATCATTATTATTATCTTGTGTCCAATATAATTATTTTAGTTGTGGTGCATTACTAAGTGTTACCATGTTAGTTACTGGTCTCTTCATGATGAACAGCAATAGCTATAGAATTTTGAACAAACAACAGGAGAAACAGATTTTGAGGTGGTTCGAGAACCACCTTGGGGTAAAAAATGGGCTAATGTTTGTATACCTCCCATATATAAATGCAAAGTTTTTTGAACCTATATGTTGATTTTTGCTGCTTTATAATCCTATGTGTCAATATTTGGTGCTTCGTAATCCTATGTATCAAACTTTTTAGTGTTTCAGAGTACTTCATGTAGATTTGGACTTTTTATCCATGGCAATTAGGACTTTTAAAATTGCAAAACATTTGGTCAATTTTTAAATATATATTCTAAAACTTAATAATTTTTTTATTTGTGATTGATTTTTATACATGATATAACAAATTAATTGTCTTTTGACGGTTTTCGATTTGATATCCATATCACATATAAAAAATTGTATCTACCTTTATAAATGAAAATTAACAAGTCTAATATATCCTAATTGGAATATAATAAATATATAAAATATTAATTAAATTTATCTATCAAGTCTATTATGCAATATGAGTTAAAAAAATATATATTATAAAATAGGACGAGCAAATCTTGCATTTTACATAAAAATAAAAATAAAAAATATATTCTAAATAGTATTTGAAAATTTGAATAATAACTTATATTCTTTTTAAATTTCTAAGTATAAAATTTTCAATTAACACCCTTTTATAGCACTACTAGGTATAGTTGTGTAATTGCTTGTGATGCAATACCATTGCTGTATTGTATGTAGTTCTGTAATTTGGTGACAAGGCTTTTGGTTACTTACAGGGATACAAGCCGAATTAATTCTTGGAACTATAGCTAGGAAAGATAATTCAGATGGTAAGTCAAGTGGATGTTATTTGGAAGACAGAGTAACTTTTAGCGAGGACAAGGTAATGGACACTGAAAGCAAGGCTGTTATGATGGCTTGGGAGAAGCCGTTAATGGAAGCTCATGCAAACGCTATTTGTTCAAGAGGTGGTCACATATTGAACATTGGTTTTGGCATGGGTCTTGTGGATATCGCCATACAACAATACTCACCCGTGTGTCATACTATTGTTGAAGCTCACCCTGAAGTTTACGCTCGTATGCTCCAAACTGGGTGGGGTGAGAAAAAAAATGTCAAGATAATATTTGGTCGGTGGCAGGATGTCCTTTCTCAGCTGGAATCATATGATGGTAATACAATACAATATATACTTTTTTCGAGGTTGTTTATTTTTATAGTGATGCAAAAGGAAACCGTTTTAACTTTTTGTTGTGTTTCTGAGGCTTTGAGTTGTAAGACTTATGTTTTCTTTATATGATAATATGTTGTGAGCTTGATAGTTTTTGTTTGTTGAGCTTGAGTAAAATATTATTGAGACCTCAGGAGGTTTTTCTTACATACCCTTCCATTGATGTATATTCAAGGTGTGTAGGACTGTTGGTTATGTAGTGGTGTTAATATCCATATTCATTTCCTATTTTCGTCGTTAGCAAATTGTCAAAGGTTAGCTATCTCTTTGTGGCTTCCATGGTTATGAGATACTTTCCATTTTAAAGTGTTTTACTTATTTTTATCTCATCTTATTGGAACAACTCCATCAGTTGCATCCTTAACTATCAAAAAATGACTTATTCAATTTTCTCAGGTATATTTTTTGACACGTATGGTGAATATTATGAAGATATGAGACAATTTCATCAACATCTTCCGCAACTATTGAAGCCCGGAGGAATATATTCATTCTTCAATGGTCTTTGTGGAGATAATCCCTTCTTTCATACGGTTTATTGTCAGTTAGTTGCCTTGGAACTAGAGAATTTGGGTTACTCGACACAGTTGATACCTTTACCTGCTAAGCAATGTTTTGGAGAAGAAACTTGGGAGGGTGTGAAACACAAATACTGGCAGTTGGATACTTATTATCTTCCTGTTTGTTTGTCTGCCAATGATTCTGAATAACTCATCTGCATTCAACAATACTTTTGGTTTATGAGTTTGATTGATATGTACTCTTAATGAGTCAGACTTTGAAGTTGTTTTGTACTTGTAATGAATTATGTTTGGGGAACTGCTGCATAGCAGTTAAGCTTTCTTGTTTGTCTTTGTGCGATATGTTCATCAGCTATTACGGGTAACATATATAGATATGTATCCACTCTTGAATTTCATCTTGCACAGAATATTATGATTATACTCACATGATTTGAGTTGATCATCTTGTATAGCATGCCATGAGAACCTTCAAATGTGAAGATCGTCTATCACGTGTTTGTAAGGTTTGAATGTTGTGGTCTATATGAAAAGTATGCAATAACTCTCAAAGGGACATTTATTTCCAACCTACAGCCTTCACAATAATGAAACCCATGTCTATAGGAATATATTTGCTTTGTACCCGAATGTACTTGCCGACATGGAGAGGAAAGCCCTCGGAAATGACTTGGCATAGCCTCCTTAAAAGGAGTGTGGTTTGCCCCGTTTTATTTTATGTTGACTAGCAAGTGAGGGACCGGATTGTGGTCGCCCGCTTTGCTTTAGTNAGTAAATGAAACATGTAAAACACTCACTTCTTATGTCTTTCTTGTGCTGAAGGTAGAATATGAGTTATAAGGGACAATGTGTCCATTTATTAGGATTATGTATACTGCTGCATCATGTCCACATATATATGATTGGGCTACTAACTATGTGCTTTTTGTCGTTCTTCTTCCTTGTCCGGGATGTCATTGTACTCTTGGACTGAGCATGAGACTTGGAGAATTCTGAACCGTTTTGAAAACCGAATCGAAATCACTCCGAACCGTAAAATAACCGTTGACCGTTTGACTTTCTCCGAACCAAACAGAAAAAATAGTTGGTACAATTCTGGAGATTTCACAAATATCCATACCGAGAAATTAACCGAATCGTCTCATACCGTACCGAACCGAATTATAACATTAGGTTTTTATTATTATATATTTTATGTCAACTTTGTTCCTATATAAATTGAGAATTTTTAAAATACAAATAAAATATAGTAATAACAATTAAGCTTTACTTAAATTTCTTGCTTAATAATATTTGATCTACAATTGAATTTTTCCTGTTATTAAAAAATTATTTAAAATGGTATGAAAGGTTAAAGAATATTCCTTTTAGGAAAAAATTATATTATATTTTGTTTGAAATTTAAATTTCAATATTAGTTGCACAAATTTTGTCTTAACTAAAATCTAGAGTTACTTCTAAAGTTGTTTCAAAATAACCTATAATATGAGGAAGTGTTGATGAATGAAAATCAAATAACTAAAATTTAAAAGTTGATTTCAAAATAAAATCTTCAATATGATGAAATATGATGAATGTTGTTTTTTCTAAACATTTAAAAATTAAAATACAACTAGGTAGTCATTCAAAAAAGATTTTAAAAAATGAGAAATCTTCGAAGATCCGATCCGAACTATACCGAATTGAACCATTCTGATAGTCCCGAATACCGAATAGGGAACCGAACCGAACCGAAAAGTAATAATCTCCGAACCGAACTGTCCCATTTTTTGCTACGGTTTTGAAGATCGAATTTAGTGATCTCTGAATGTTGGCACAGTTCCGAAGATTTCTCAATCTCCGAACCGTACCGACCCATGCTCACCTTTAGTATCTACTCTTGGTATTCAACTTGTTGCCTGACTCAGATGGTTTTGGACGTACTCTTAAGTGTAACAATCCTATGCCGAGTTCAACACATTTATGGGGGAATGTTTGTCCCATTTTTGTTGCATTTTTCGTATTTGTTTTGCTTTTCTTTTTCCCCCATTTTAGATCGTTTCCTTTGTTTAGCTAGTTTTGTGGTTTGTTGCATGTTTTTTCTTTATTTCAGGTTTTTCTGTGTTTTAGTTTGTGATTCTTTGTTTTCTTTGTGTTCTTGTCATTTTTGGTGTACATGTCGGGAGCTTCGGGTGGATATGATTTCAAAAATAAGTTTCCCATGCAAGCATAATTAACTAGAAGGGTTCATTAGCGACACGTAGGAAAAAACGACACTCAATTTCGAGTTTGGACGAGCTTAAACGAACCCAAAACGCAAAGTCCCGCAGCCCCGCCCCTAGCGGCGCTAGACAGGCCTAGCGGGCAACAGAGAATCGACCTTAGCAGACCCTAGCGACGCTAGGGCCTGCTGTGAGCAGATTTCATTTTTTTTTCTTTTTTTCTCGTTTTTGCTCGGTTTTTCGAGCCGTATATATTGGGACGAACCCCCAGACCTATAGAACAACCCCAAAAACTCGTTTTTCCTCATTCTCCTACCCTAGAACACAAACTTGGATCTTGATTTTCTTCTTGAATTTCTTCTCAATTTTCTCGGATTAATCTTGTATCTCAGATTCAACTTTCAATTTCGTTTTAATCGTAAGTTTTTCTATTCATTTAATCCATGAATATGATTGCTTTGATTGTTGTGATTGATTTTGTTAAATTTCATATTAGTAGCTAATTCGATTCGCTAGGAATAGGGGATGATGTTTGAATTCGTTTAGGATTATCGTGCTTGTTGACTATTCAATTTATGCGAGTTGATATTAAATATGGTTTTCAATATCATGCTTGAATGTTGAATATTGTTGAAGAGTGACACTTCAATTTACAATTGATTCACAATTGAATATGATTCGTTCTTGTGTGATGTTTTCAATTCTAAAAGATAGTTGGCTAACCACCTTCTAATCTACTTTAATCGACTCTTAGAACCGAAAGAGGAGGAGTTGATCGATTTTGACTCGTATAAAATAGGCTTGTTCGTAGTTGTATTGCCTATGTGTTAAACGACTCATTGATTTGCCGTTCATGTTTATTCTCTTGTTACAAAAAGTTATTGAGGGTGAATCTCTGAATGAGTAGGTTATTCGAATCCTTTAACCGAATGATCACATGCTCGTTAATTGCATTTCGAACCGAAACAAATATCTTCGATTCCCTAGCTTCTTTATCATTGTTTGATTCATGTTTTTGAGTTGATTTCTGTTTTATGCATTTTCTGTTATTTCCTAGTTGATAGTTCAAACCCCAAACATGATTAGAGTGTTTAGGATTTATTTTGCTTTTTTGTGCAATCAACATTGAATCTAGATTCCGAACCGCCTTCCTCGAGAGATCGACCCGGGGAACGAATCCTTCGATTTGATACTCGGTAAAAATAATTTGCTACAACAGGGAACATGCTCAAGTGGTGTGAATCTTTGTGTGCTCATTTATGAGTAAAACATTTCTAAGTTGTGAAACTAGGTGATTTTGTCATTTATGAGTAATACATTGTTAAAAATCGGAGCCTCGCAATTGTTACAAATTGATTGTAGAATAAAAAGGGATATCTATTAACTAAAGTTGAGGTTTCAGTTTTTACAATTCGAAAAATAAAACATAAAACAATATTACAATTCTAATGCGGACAACTTTAAGCCGAGGCGATTGAAATCTTTTCGCAAGACAAATACTCCCCGTACAGTGGTCACGTGTCTGTGCGTAATGTCCTCAAATATACAACGGCTATTCACTCGGAAGCTGTAGCACACCAGTCCTCAGATTTCCGACAAACAAAGAACTGAGCAATGTATATGATGCGTGAGACTTCCAATATAGAATGATATGCAGTTGTATGTTTTTTTTTTCTGCAACTTCTACACTGCCCTATTATAGGACTTCCAGCAAGGTAGGAGCTGACTCTTCAGCTTGTAACAACTCACTTATGGTTGTTGTACTAGGGAGTCTCTCAGGTGTTAAAACACCTTCATTCCACCTAGTAACCACAAAAACGGTTAAGTGGTGGACAAGTGAAATGTCACATGCCCAGGTTCAATGTTCTTGGAGCTCTCACACGGGTTGGGTCAAAACTCGAATCTAAACCCAACTCGGTTTGTATTTTATCTTGGGCTTCAGAATTACGAATAAATTTTCACCAAAAAGATATATAGTGGTTGGGCCCAAGGCCAAAGCCCCGTCCATGGCTGCCCAAGTCCAGCCCACAGTCCAATTGCCAAGGACCAAGGCCCAGAGCCCAAAACCCAAGTCTTAAGTCCCAAGTCCCAAGTCCCAGGCCCAGGCCCAGGCCCAAAACCGTGCCTGTGTTGAGCCGAGCCGACCGACAGGCCGGTAGGCGGGCACACGTGCACGGCCATGTGGCGGAAGCCTACGCCAACACTTAGTGCGTAGCTTTGTTGTTGTTGTAATCTCTCCAACTTTGTTTATTATAAAGAGAGTTAATCTCAATTTAAAGTCCAATGTGGGAATGACTCTTGACCCTTCGAATCCCAAAACCATTGTTTTACGTGCCCATTTATGGCTAACTTTAATCATTTATTTTCAACTCACAGGAAATCAGTTTTGAGATAATATACAACGAGTATCTACTCGGAACGCATAATTTTTCTACACAATTTAATCCAACCTGAATTAAATATTTAGCCCATCGAAATTTCAGTCAAAACTGGGTCAAACCCAAGTTTTCTGACTGATTTTTCCAACAATCCCCACATGAGTGGAAATCAAATTTATGCATGTATGCAGACTCTTGTGCTCAATCCTCACAAGACTATTGCATTAACAAAGGTAGTTTATGGCTTTGAACCTTTTTTAGTAAACATCATCGAATATATTGGCGGCTTAGTGGACGTAGTACCTTGAACTATTCCATTGTGTATACCAAGACAATAATATTCACACAATAGATCCATAACTTCATTTCATTCTACTGTTGTGTCCGTTTTGGCCATGGACAACACTTTTGATTCATAAGTGTTAATATTTGAAGTGACCCTCACTTCACTTATATAGGTGATCTCCCTATCAAGAGTATCCTATATTACTCCATCTTTAAAGGTTATGGATTCATTAAAAGTTAAGATGACTTACCCTCACCACAGTCAATATATAATCTTGCACTTGGATTGCTTTAGGGAATAGCTTTGGACATTCTTATGATCCAAGTGCTCAGCTGATTTTTCATAGCTTAGTTTTCTTCTTGAACCAAGTTCATGGGATCTCCATTCAGCAAGGCAGGGTTACCACTATTATCATTCTTTTCATTGTGAATTTTTAAGCACATTCCCTCTAGCAATATTCCCAATTGATCTATATTCAGTCCTTTAGTAAAAGGGTCAGCCAAATTTTCCTTAGACTTTGCAGTCAATGAAAAATAATACCATTTGTGATCAATTTGGCGAACATTATTATGTCCACGAAGAATATGTCTATACCTACTGTTATACATGATGCTTTGCGCCCTTCATAGTAGCTTGGTTATCACAGTGAATAATCACAGGCGACAAAGGCATATTCCAACATGGAATATCGAATAAAAAAATTTGAAGCCATTTGGCTTCTTCACTTGCTTTATCTAAAACGATGAACTCTGATTCAATGGTAGACTGGGCTATACAAGTTTGTTTTGTGGATTTCCTGGAAACTGCACCTTCTCCAATACAGAAAACATATCCGCTCGTGGAGTGAGAATCTCTAAAATTTGATATCACAGTACCCTTTAAATACAACTGGGTATCTCGGGTA